CCTCCCGTGCTCTCCCCCGCCCCACCGGGCCGTCGGGCCCTCGGCCGGGCGCGACTCAGCTGCCCCGGTGGGCGCGGGGGAAGCGGCCGTTCCCGAGACCCTCGGCCGCCGCGGGAGGAGCTGGGCGGCCCCTCGCGAGCTCACCTCCGTTGTGGCGCCGGCGCCTGCTGTGCCCGCGGCCTCTGCGGCGCCCTCAGGCCGGGGCCGTGTGGCGGGGTCGGCGGCGGCTGCGGAGGAGCGTCGCGACGAGACAGGCCCTCTGCCTCTCTCCCCCCTCCGCTGCTTCCGCCTCGCCGGCTGCCCCTTCCGGGCAGGACCTCTGGCCACGCGAGCTGCAGCGCCCCCTCTCGACCGGAGGCCGCCTGTAGGCGCCGCAACGCGAAACGGCGGTTGAAGCGGGCAGCAGCTTCGTGGGCGGGGCCGCGGACGACTCGGGCAGAGGGCCGGGCCGAGATTGCTCTCCCTCTCGTTCCCATTGGTCGGGACGAAAAGCTGCTCCCTGCCCATTGGTTACTTGGTACGGGTGGGCATCAATAGATTCGATCCTGGGGTCCCGCACTGTCCGAGCCCCTTTAAGGGGGAACCGGCGTCCCTCGACTCAGCAAGGAGGGCGGTTAAAGAGGGGGCCGAAACTGCCCCCCCGCCCTATAGGCAGAGCCCTTTGCAATCCGGAGGCTAACAAGAGGGGGGGACGAGGTGAGACGCCCAGCCCACACTCTTGCCCCTCTACGGGGGGGGGGAGGATGTGCGCCTGCGCGCGGCTTTCCGCAAAGCGACCAGTAGCCCCCCCCGCGTGGGCGGGGCTGTGGAGGCGTGGTTCGAACTCGCGACGTCACAGAGGGTCTCCCTGTGACGCAATGCGCCTTCGGGGGAAGCCCTCCAGCTGGGCTGGGAGCCAGATCCTACTCCCGCGGGCGGGACCGGCGCGGAAGGCGACCGGAGGTTCGTCGCCTGTTCTGACGACCCCCGGGGGAAGACGCGTGCCAAAGCCCATCAACAGAGCTGAGAAATGCCCGACCGCCGAGCCTTGTTGTGGCTCCCTGTGCAGCCGCTGCTGCCCTTGTCCTTGGGGGTCTTGCTGGGCTTGGGCCCCGCCGTCTCCCCGCTGGACAACGGGCTGCTGAGGACGCCCCCGATGGGCTGGGAGCCCTGGCTGCGCTTCAAGTGCAACACGGACTGCGAGAAGGACCCCGAGAACTGCATCAGGTGTGGGAAGGCAGGGGCAGCCCGGATCAGAGACCCCCGAGGGCCCTTTGGGGGCTTGGATGGCTCTGCTAGCAGGGAAGAAGAGATCCGCCCTCCCCCCCCCGCCTCCCTGGGAGACCAAGGCCGCCTTTCCTTTGCCCACAGTGAGCACCTGGTCAAGGCGATGGCAGACCGACTGGCTGCGGACGGCTGGAAGGAGCTGGGCTACGAGTACGTCACCCTGGACGACTGCTGGGCAGCTGGCAAACGGGACGCCCGCGGGAGGCTCCAGGCAGACCCCCAGAGGTTCCCCAGCGGGATGAAGGCCCTGGCCGACTATGTGAGTGCAGGGGAGGGCCTGCCCCGAAATGGCCCTGGGGCCAGAAGCGTTCGGGGGTGTAAGAAGCCGTCTCTTTCCGGTTAGCTGCGTTGATGCCTAACTTTAAGCCCCACGTATGGAACACGAAGCACCTGTGCGTGTTTTATCATTCATTAGTGGCCAAACGAGGCTGCACCTAAATAGGAAAGCTCCACCTCTTTAGCCCAACGCAGGAGGTGGGCATGCTGTGTTGCACCCATTTGAAAAGGGAATGTGGGCCTTACGATCCAGGGCTCACTTTCATCCAGGGAAGGTCTCATCATGCAGCGCAGTGATCTCCAACCTTGGCCACTTTAAGACCTGTGCACTTCAACTCCCAGAGTCCACAGGTCTTAAAGTGGCCAAGGTTGGAGACCACTGATGTAGCGACCTGGCTCAGCTGCAGCTGCCAGCTGGGCCCCTCGGACCCTCATCCCAGGTGACTGCACTGGGCATCCCCAGCCCCTCTCTCCTCCTCCTCCTCCTCCTCCTCCACCAGGTTCATTCCAAAGGCTTGAAATTCGGCATCTACAGCGACTTGGGCAACGCCACCTGTGCGGGTTATCCGGGCACAACCCTGGACACCGTGGAGACAGATGCAAACACTTTTGCAGAGTGGGGGGTCGACATGCTGAAGCTGGACGGCTGCTACTCCGACTCCTCCCTCAAGGCCATAGGTGGGCCCCCCCGGGGCGGCAGAGCGGCTGGGGGGGCACAAGGGGCAGAGGGGCAGGCGCTGTGGGAAAGGGCACACCAGGCCATTCTAGAAGCCTCCGCCAGCCAGGAGGGGGCAGAGTTTGCATGAGGCTGTTGCTGCTCCTTAGGGCAACATCCCAATTTGCTGGGGGTGTTGGGGGTGGGGTTCACCCTTCAGGTGCCAGAGACAGAGCGGCTTTGCTCCCGGTGAAAGCCAGGAGACGAGGCTTCGTCTTTTGAGTTGGGGGCCTCAAAGTCCTTTGCTGTCATTCATTCCAATGACATGCCAGCTTGTCGCGTCCAAGACGGCCCCCTCCCATGCAACTGGTGGAGGCCAATGGCTTGCAGGGACCCCCGGGGGAGGTGGGGGCTGAAGTACCTGAGGCAGCCTCTGCCTGGGCAGCTGGCAGAGTCTCTCCTTGCCACCTTCTCTGGGTGTTTTCCAGGCTACCCCAAAATGAGCCGAGCGCTGAACCAAACCGGGCGGCCCATCGCCTTGTCTTGCAGTTGGCCAGCGTACGAAGGGGGTCTTCCTCCGAAGGTAATCCCAGACCCCCCCCCTCTCGCTTTTCCAGCAAAGAGCCCCTTTACAGGCACAGCTGCTTTCACGGCTGCCTTGTGGGCCTAGGATGGCAGCAGAAGGAGGGGAGTAGAAGCCAGCATCTCTCCCAGGGTTTGCATCGGCCTCTTTCTGGTGGCTGTTTGAGGTCACCTCCCGCCACACTTCCCGAGAGCATAAAATGGCAAATAAACCAAAATCCAGTCATAGATCCCACCCCATCAGTTGTGGCATTTCTTCCGGTTTTCCTTCGAGGAGAGCAGTGGTCATAATTGCTTCTCCCCATACACGGAGGGCCTGTCTCTCCCTTCAGAAGCCTAAATCTGCTTCTTTTAATGAAGGTGAATTACACCTTACTGGGCCAGATTTGTAACTTCTGGAGGAATTATGCCGATATTGAAGATACCTGGGAGAGCCTCTTCCACATCATTGAGTGGTATGGAGACCACCAGGATATCCTGCAGCCGGCCTCAGGGCCCGGAAGGTGGAATGACCCCGACATGGTGAGACCCTCTTCCTGACCACCTGGCCAGGCTCTGAGCCCAGGGGAGGGTTCAAGGCCTGAGGGCCACTCCTCGGGGACCCGGAGGACAGGTGGCAGGAGAGGTGAGGTGCAGAGGCTGGAAGAAGCACAACGGGAAATTCTGCTCTCGGTGCCCAACTCTGCGGTTCTGGGGCAGCTTTCTGGGTCTGCAGGATCCCAAAGTGGGCTTCCTTTGATTTCTCTCCCCGATGGGTTGGGTCAGGCCGCCTGGCATCCTGTCTCCTTCCAGCTGATTGTTAGCGACCTTGGCCTGAGCCACGAGCAGTCGAAAGTGCAGGCAGCGCTGTGGGCGATCCTGGCAGCCCCCTTCTTCATCTCCTGCAACCTGAGGAACATCTCGAAGGAGGCCAAGGAGATGCTGCAGAACCCGCTCCTGATCTACATTAACCAGGACCTGCGGGGAGTTCAAGGCAGACGCATTGCCAGGGTGCGCCTGGGAGGCTCTCTTCGCCTGCGTCTTGTGCCTGGGGAAACGGTGCCCTGGCACTTCTGCCACTGGGTGGCAGCCTTCCTCCGGGCACAGGAGCCATTTTTTGGCTTGGGAATCTTTGAGCAAGTCGGGTGAAAAACAAGCACTTCTGTGGTGTGGACAAGGCTGCTCACTGCTCTGCCCCTCGCTTGTCTCTCGAACAGAAGCAGAACCTGGAAGTCTGGAAGAGGCCCCTTGTCAATGGCCAGTATGCGGTCGCAGTCCTGAACAACAGAACCGATGGTGCCCCACAGTTGTTTGCCACAACTCCCAGCCTCCTGGGAATCTCGGACTGCAGAGCCGGCTATAGGCTCTACGATGTGCTGGGGAGGCTGTCCATGGGCGTTTACGCCTTCAATGACACCATCAGTGCCAAGGTGACGCCCACCGGGGTGCTGCTGCTCTTCCTGAACCCGCTGTGCTAGTCCTGTCATTGCGGAGGGCGAGGGAGTCCAGGGGCGTTTCTGGGAAGGACCGGCCGCTTCCTCCATGCAGTGAAGCTTAAGGTAATGACCACCACCACCCTTCACGAACTCTCCTGCTGGTGCTGCTTCTCCTAAGGGGTCTCGATCTCTGAAGAGCCGTTTTATTTACCCAGTTCACCAGGGCAAAGGACGGAGGTCTCGCTGCCACTGTAGGCACCAAAGCAGGCTCATAGCAGCTCCGCATCCTGGGAATTAGCGACTGTCAAAAGGCAGGAACATGCCGGGATGCTGCCTGCATCCCCTTGTTTTCTGAACAGGGGTGAATCCAGAAGCTTCTCATCATCCTTGCAATTAAATGGTTCTTATTTCAGCCACTCCAGTAATCCAGTATTTGCTGCCTTCCAAAAACCACGGAGGGGGGGTGGGGCAGCTCACCTGCCCTCCAAGGTGTCTCACCTGCTGGGCCAAATGAGAGGAAGCCAAGGAACCAGGGACATTTCCTTGCTGGGGGCGGGGGGGGGGGCTGCCATGTTTGCAGGTTGCAGATGCTCCTCTGGTTCAGAAAGGAGGGGAGACGTCTCCGATTGTCCGGTTTCCCTTCACCCAGCCCCAAATCTCCTTTTCCCCCACAGAAACCTTCTCTTAAAGGCCGCATTCAGCTTGGAGACTCGGAGGGAGGCGGCCAGCAGAGCCAACAAAGGGTCCGAAAAGCAGCCGTGTTCTGCAAGGCGAGTGCAGCCCGAGCGGAGGCCCGAGAGGGTGTCCTGCAAGCCCAGGCAGCGGCCAGTTTGGGCACCGGACTAACCCCTGTCGAAGGGACCCTGGATGTGTTGACTACGCTGGAGATGCTTCCCGTGGCTGAGGGTCTGCCGGGGGCTCCCCCCCCCGTCTCTCTCTCTCTCAGAGGGCCGAAAGGGAAGAGCCTTGACTCAGTTGACCGGGGTTGCCTTAAGATCATCTCCAGATTGTAGTCATCGATTCTGAATCCTGACAGTGTTGCGTGTGTATTATTTTTCAGTATTTTGACTTTTAGAATGTGCCTCTTATTTAAGCGGAAGAAGGCCAGCCGCAATAAATGATCCTGGAGATCTCCCTGCTCTAATGTCCACCACTGTGGCTACCACTTCAGTGTGCAGAAGCTGCCAATTTGGGGTCTCAATGCGCCATCTTGCAGTTGCCCATCGAAACGTGGAGGGCAGCCTGGAGGCTCCCTGAAAGACCCACTGCCACACGACTGATGCCAGCACCGTCTGGGGAGCCTTGAAGTCCTCTGATTGGGCCTTGTGGGAATTGGGGAAATCCTAGAATCTTTTGCAGCAAACTGGGTTTCCGGAGGGAAGGAGGTCACCGTGAGAAACAGTCTTTCACATGCAGTATCGGAAGGGTTGGGGCAGGAAGTAATCGGAGTAGGATTAGCCTTTTACTTAATATCTTCTGACTAAATGGGGAAAGTTCCAATCGGGTAGGAAATTATAGGTTGCCTTCTTGGTAAACTAATTGAGTTACTAATTCAGTGATTATATTTATATGAGACACGCAAAATCAATTTGGAAATGATGACTAATATATTAATGATAACCAAATATATAATTGCAAAATGTATCCGGCCTAAATGATTTGTTAATTGCATTTATGCATGTGACTGTTACAATGAAACTCGCCCCAGTTTTTATAATCGTTAAACTGGAAAGTCTGTGTTAAGTGCACGGCTTCCTCTTCATCAGTGGTACCTGTACCCCCTCTCCCCCCTCCCCCGCCTGGCCTTCCAGGGGACCACCAAGATGGGCTCTTCACCAGGCGCTGGGGGGACATCTCTGGGAGAGGGAGGAGGTGCCAAGTTGGGTGGTGTTTTACGAATGTTTGCGGTTTTATGTTGTTGTGAGCTGTGCAGAGTTCTGTTTTTGAGATGGCCAGCCATGTGACTCTTTAAAATAAATAAATAAAAATCAACCCAATTTGCACGTGATTTGGAGGTGGGGCAGAATCACCAGGGCACACACTGAAAGAAGCCCCCACACATCCTGTTTCGGCTGGGGCACAAGTGGAAAGGGGTTTTACTGGATTGCAATGGGAGCCTGCAGGGTGATGCACCTCTAAGCTTTCACTGGGCTGTTCAGGTACTCCAGGTTTTTGCAAGGCCCTGGAATCCCGGATGGCAACATCTCGGCAAGACACAGCTGTGAGGAATATCACCTCAGGCTCAGATTAACGGGAGTGGTCCTGGGACCGTCTTTTGGGCCTCTGCATAGGAAGAGGGATAATCCACACACACACACACACACACACACGCAACACACAAACAACAGCAAGGAACACATTCAGCCAGAGCTGCCAGGGTGGCTGTTTGCATTCATGCCGGTTCTCGCAGCTACGAGAACACAATTATTTGTGTCTGGAATGTAGAAAACAGAACCTGCTGATTTACTGACTGACTCTTGCTGCTGCTGCTGAAGCACCTTGTTGTGTTGCCAACTGGACAAATAAAGTAAAACAGATTCTGTTTACTGGCTCTACTTTAGAGGCAGTTTGAGTGCAGGCAGGAGATGCTGCGCTGGCAACTTGTGTAAGACGGTGTGTTTCCAGAAAGTACAGTGCACGCCTCCTGCCCCAAACCCTAATTAGCTGGCTGTTCATGGTGCCGCCTCTGGGAAACGCAGAAGAATGGATTCATTTGTAGGAGAGAAAAAAATATTGAGAAAGTTTCAGTGTGCCTGTTGGTGCTCAGGCTGTCTCCCGGAGGAATCTTGGTTGTGTGCTTGGAACCTGACTTCCATTGCAAGGGAGACGGGGAAGGAGGTGGGCGCAGAGCCCCCCCCCCCATGAAAGAGCCTGTCATCAGCAATTTCTTGTCAGTCTGCAAAGAAGCCACGAGACACAGAAGAGCCTCATCCGCCATCAGTTTAAATCGCAATTAAAAGGAGGAGGGAGAACTTGAGTTGGCTCCAAGCAGGCCTCCCCGCTAGGGAGCAGGAGAGCCTCTGGAAGAGGATCTAGAGGGGGAGGGTGGGTGCCAAGGGCAGCCTGGAGGAGGTAAGACCTCCCGGGGGGGGAGGGGGGATGAGCAGCCCTACTTGATGGTGCTGGTCAAACAGGAGGAGGTGACCCAAAGGAACGGGCTCACCGGCCCTTTCTGAGGAGAGAAGCAGAGGGCGAGATTTACAGGTCAGCCTGTCCCACCAATGGGCTGTGCCGGTGGCCTTTGGGGAGACCAGGTGCAGGGAGCAGGAATTCACTTTGCAGCAGATGATTTGCAAACAGGCACAACTTGAGCGGCTGCTGGTGCTGCTTGGGGTTCTTCAGCCACAAAGACCCTTGAAAGCCAGAAGGCTGGGAATGACAAGAATGACCAGGGGGACTTTTGCCAGGAACCCCCCCCCAGCACTCTAGAACAAGCCCTGTCCAACTGGAAGTGGGGACCACCTTAGTCTCAGTTAGGTGGAAGGACGCGTGTTTAGGGGGGGCTGGCAGAAGGGCTGCCCTCCTTTCCCCGCTCTTCGGCTCAACCAGCCTGCAGCCTGGTTCCTGGGCCGGTTGTCCTTGAGCTCGATCCCGCCTCCCTCCGAACACGAGCTGAGCCCCCCAAGCCAGGGAGGCCACCTTGGCGCTGGCGAAGCGCAGCCTTGCGGAGGGAAAGAGAGAGGAGGGCGTCGGCTGAGACCTTCAGGTGGGGCTGGGGGCTCCGCCGCCCCGCAGAAGCGCCCACTGCTCGCCCCTCGGGCGCGCATGGCGCCGCCGACCGGAAAGAGGCAGCGCGGAGGCGGCCGCCCACCACCCCTTGCCGAGGCCGGGAGAGCCCCCTGAGGCGCTCCGCCCGGGCTGCGTGGCGCGTGCGGGGCGGGCGCGGCCGGGCGCGTGGGCGGAGAACGGGATGGAGACCGGGCAGAGGCGGCGACGGCGGCAGAAGTGCAGCGCCGGACGGGACGGGGAGAAGCAGAGGCTCCTGAGGCGGCGCCTGGACGGGACGGACGTCTCCCCGGATCGCAGCTGATGGCTCCGCCGCTGGTGCTGCCGCTGCTGCTGCTGCTGCTGGTGCAGACCGGTGAGGCTAGAGCGCTTTCCCCGCGGGGTCCCCACCCTCCACCTCGCCCCATTGCCGGCGACCCTAGTGAGGGACCTTGGCCTTGGGGGAACTCCCCCGTTGGCTGGATCCCGAGGGCGGGTTAATTCGTTAACCAGGTTAAGGGGAGGATTGGTGGCCTCCGAGTTAGCCTTGACTCCTGGCCCCTGCAGCTTCCTTGGCCAGGCGGTTTGGAGGGGTCTGCCATTGCCTCCTTCCTAGGGCCCGGAGGGAGGGACTGGCCCAAAGTCATGGAGCTGGACTTCTGCCGGTATCTAGACTAGAACCTGCATCTCCTGGTTTCTGGTTCCCTATGGAGAAGATCTGGGGGAAGCTGGGTTGCCTCTCCCTGCACTGATCCCACTGGAGCAGCAGAGAGTCCTCCTCCTCCACGTAATTGGGGTGGGGGGAGATTCCCAGGCCCAGCATAAGAGGGGAGCTGTCCAAATGGAGGTCCCAGAGAAAGGGACCCAGCTGCTTTTTTGGGGTGGGGTGGGGTGGGTGCCTTGTATCCTCCCTGTGATGGGTGGGTCTCATTTGAGGCATTGGGGTTCCTGTGGGGTCACTTGTGAGGTAGACCAGCTAGGAAACAGGACCAGACCACCCATCTCTCCTCTACTGTAAAGCTACAATGACGGAATCTTTCTTGCCAGCAGCCCTGACCGCCCCCCCCCCCTTTGCCAAGGAGGCAGCTGCCCTTTTTATGCTGCGTTACCTGACGCCCCAAAGCAAAGGGGGAGGTGGGGGGAGGCTGTTACAGCTTCCAAATGCCCAGCAAGATGACTGGTGGCAGAGGGCGCCTGTTAGTGCCCCGGGAAGCTGAGTGTGTGTGTGTGTGGGGGGGAGATGTCCCACGCTCCTGCTTGAACCCTGGCAGCCCACCTTGAAAACAGCCCTGGATGTCTCCTGGGACCCCTCCTGCCGCTACTAGAGGTTAGGCTCCTGTGGGGGGGGGGCTCTCCTCCTGTATATCTTCTCTCCCCTCCCCTCCAAGTGTGTTGTTGGGGAGGGGCACTAGACAGCTTTATTGGACTCTCTCTCTCTCTCTCTCTCAGACGCACCCAGGAGCAGAGTCAGCTGGGAATGGCATCCCTCCTTGCCTCCAGAGCTGCCCTCCTGATGCCATGCTCTCCTTCCTCCCCCACTACAGGACACCCTGTGGCCAAGGCCCCTTCCCGGCCCCGCAGAGGAATCCTCCAGCTGGCCGGGATGGTCCAGTGCACCACAGGCCGAACTCCCCTGGCCTATATCCGTTATGGGTGTTACTGTGGCTGGGGAGGCCACGGCTGGCCCAAGGACCAGGTCGACTGGTAAGTGCCCTGTTGGTTGGCCTCTTGACCCGTGGCTGGCGAGGGCTCTGCTGCCTTGGAACCCCGGGGGGGGGCAGAGGAAGTGGAAGCTCCTTCTTGGGGAGCAGAGTTAAAAAGCAAAACTTGCTCGTAAGGTATGGTGGATCTGCACAATAAGTGTGCACAGCTGGAGGGATTCTGGGAAGCGGCTGAGTGCACGCCTGCATCTGAAAGTGCCAACGTGGAAGGCCCTGGGGATGCCAAGCCACCCTCCTCTCACCACATCCTGCCATCGCTATAAACTAAACCCAAAATAGAAGCTTCCCCAAAGGACAATATTTAGCTCGACTGTATTTTAAGCATTTGGAAACTTTACACATTCTGCGGCTTCCGCTAGTTTGGCAGAATGAGACCTTTGATTCAGTCACGAAGGTCAAGTGCAGCCAGAAGTGACGGACCCATCTGGGCCAGGAAACACGTTTTCTTTGGTTAATGTTTTGCCCCACATCCTGGCTGATGTGGGCCAGCTGCCCAGCTTCATTTTTAACAACATGGCTACAGGCAAGCTGGCACCGGCTCCGCCCCAAATTAAGCTGCCGCAGCATCACCACCTCATGTAACTGGAGGGCTCGGACGGCCTCTGGGCACTCCCCCTGGCTGGCTGCCCTAATGGGCACCTGGGATTTGCCCTTGAATGGGATGCCTCCAAATCCAGCCGAGCTGTAAATTATTCAGGATTATTTGGGGTGAAGCGACAGGGTTGGGGAATTGGGGAAAGAGCCCCCCTCCTCCCCCATGGTCTTTCTGCACAGAAGCCATTTCAGGTGAGAGGAGGTGACACGAGGAAAGAGGCCTGGAGCTCCAACTGTCCAAAAGGACAGTAAATCATTCCCCCAAAAATGTCTTTGCCACCCACAAGCTCTCTACATGAGAGACATAAAAGGACCCACCCACCTGAGTAACCACCCTTACCTATTGCAGTGAACCCAGCCTCCCCTCCTGGCCAGCAGGCTGAGAGGGGCAGGGACAGGTGAGGGGGCTCATCTGGGCTCAGTGGGTCTCCTCTGGTTCTGCCAGGTGCTGCTTTAAGCATGACTGTTGCTATGGAAAGGCGGAGGAGGAGAACTGTGCCCCCAAGATGCGGAGGTACCCCTGGGAGTGCAGGGACAGCAAAGCCAAGTGCGGTGAGTTCCCCCAGGAAAAAGAGGCCTCGGGATGTCCCGACAGGAGGACGGGCCGGAACCTGCCCCCTTCCAGGCCCCCCAGGGCTAACCTGCCTGGAAAGCTGCCCTTCAAAGCTCCGGGTGGCGGCTTCAGTCTCTCTTTTCCTTTTGCAGACGACATTGAAGACAAGTGCCAAAAGATGGCTTGTGAGTGTGACCGCAGTGCAGCCAAGTGCCTGGCAAAAGCCCCCTACAACGTGACCTACTTGTTCTGGCCAGAGGCCCAGTGTGGAGAGAGGAGCCCCGCGTGCCCAGACGACTGACCTGGCCCTCGCACGGCTTCCCTGCCTGCCCACCTTCCAATCCAGGCCCTGAGCTGCTATTTCCCCTCGGACGTCCCGGCCTCGTCTTGCTGCAGGGACTCCGCACCAGGAGGGTCTGCGGGAAGCTCTGGGGTCTCGTTTGCAGGATGATACCCAGCTCACTTTGGGATGCAAAGCTTTGCACTAACAAGCCCTGGCACGTGGGAATGAGGCTGGGCAGAGAGAGGCAGCCTGGGAAGGCCAGAAAAAAGGCCACCTAGCCCTCAGGGGGGAAAGTGGGAGCAGCAAGAGGGCTAGAAGAGCCCCTTCCAAGTTTGGGGGCTGTAAAGGGATGGGAGAGGACTTTGAGAACTTGTGTCAGAGCAGAAACACAACCAGGTGGGCTGTTTCTACTTCATTGCAAAGCTGCATTAACAGAATCTTCCAAATCTGAAACTCCAAATCTCTCCCTGTCTCCTTTACAGTCCACGAAACTCGAGGGTGGGGGGCCCTTCTTACCCCCCATTCCCACATTCCATTACTGTCCAGAAAGCAAGAGCTCCCAGGGTGGCAAGGGGGGGGGGGCATAGGAGGTACTTGGTTTAATGAATATTGCAAAGTTAAGTCATCACAGCCTGGACCTTGATGGGCGCCAGGCAGCCGTGAGACCTGCCATGGTTCAGCCCAGCCTACCTCACAATCTAAAGAAGAAAGGGAAGGAGGAACACTGGGTGAAAAAATAACTATCACTATTTTTAGAAAACATTATTTAATTTGTAAAAATGTTCTATGCAAATTTAAAGATCATATTGATACAAATGCAGAGTCCAATTTCATTTATAGGGACATCACATTTAACAGAAAGATTCACCAGAGATTTAACACAAAGCAACACGGAGAAAATTTAGACACACAGAGAAACCAGTTGGCCTACTTACACGCAGGGGGTCCTTTTCCAAAGAGTTCGCAACAACCTCAGTTGTCTCAAAGGGAGATTTTGGATGATGCAAAGTTTACATCGTCTTTGACCCAAGGAAAAAGTGCCTCTTGCCCCTGGAAAGGAAGTGGGGGACGCAAAGAGCTGGAAAACTAGACTGCTCAGGTATCCACGGAGGAAGGATCAGCTGGATTTGGAAGAGCAGGAAGACGACGGGGCTGCCCCCTCAGCACCCAGGCCCTGGAAGGGGAGGGGGGGTCTCCGCATCACAGGACTTGGGTTTCCAGGCGACGGACTTCCTTCACCACAAGGTCAATGTTGATGATTGGGTTGAAGTACAAAGCCCAGTAAAAGAGGCAATTGCAGGCAAACTGGGGAATGACTGGCCAGAAAATGGCCATCAGGAATCCCTGGGTTGACATTTTCCAGAAGTGGCTCCACATCCGGTAGGGGATTCTCCTGAAAGAGGAGGAGGAGGAGGGGAAGAGAGAGAACAGGGTGAATATCTGGCCTTGGGATTCTCCCAAAGGAGATCCTGGGTCTTTCGCAGGCCCTCTTGCCGTGCAGGCCTCCCCCCTTGGCCAGGAGGGGGACGAGGGGCTCACTTCAGCTCCCGTCTCGACCAGAGCCGCCAGAAGGAGAACAGCTCCAGCACGGACAGCAGCATGGCGTTCACGATGATGAAGCGGGAGGTCCAGTAATGGGTCTCCAGCCAGTCCCAGGCAAACTCGGCCAGCAGCTGATAGGGCAGGAAGGCAAACTTCATCAGGAACTCCCGCCACTGCTTCCACACGGGGTCCTTGTGGTCCTGCAGAGACAGAAGAGGAGCGCCAGCTGCCTCGCCACCCTCTTGGCAGGGCGTCAGCAGGGCCGGAGAAACAGCTGGAGGCGCAGGCAGGGGGGCCGCCCGCGTCGGAGGAGGCCTAAGTGCCCGGGACTCCAGGCTTACGTGCAGTTTTGCAATCACGTCTTCCAGCTCCTGGGCCTCCGAGACGGGGCAGACGGTGTGGATGAAGGGCAGGAAGGTGTTGCTGTAATCCGACAGGTACAGGTACAGCATGGTGAGCCGAGGGGAGCTCTTCAAGGCGTAGAGCAGGAACAGCGACCTCCCAGGCTGCACCGCCTGCAAGGCAAGGGGGCTTTGTGCAGGAAAGGCTTCGCTCCGCCGGCCTCTCCCAGGCACGATGCCGCTTGTTAGGCCCGGGGGTAAGGTGTGGGGAAAGACCCCCGTCTGAGTCCCATTAGCCCGGAGGATGAAGAGGCCGGGGCTGCTGGGTCCTCTGGACCGTCTGGGGCCCCTGCAGCACACACTCACTTTGTACTCCCAGAGGTTTTGGGGCGGCTTCACCCCCAGCATCTTCACCCGCTCGAGCTCCATCGCGATGGCTTTTCTGTGGCTGCTGTTCTCCACCTGGTACGGAGCCTGCCGGAGCTCCTCATCGGTCAGCGTCAGAAGCAGCCTGCAAGAAAAGCCCACCGGCTCCAGCAGGTCAAAGCCCAAAAGTCTCCGTCAGGAAACTCTCTTAAGGAGCCACGTTTTCAGCCAGAGCAAAGCAAAACCGCCTGCCCTATAAAGGAGGAGGAGGCCGCAGTCAGGCCCTTCTGGCTCCCAAGCGGGCCAGGAACATTCATCCCCCGTCTGCATGGGGTCAGGGAATGACAGCCCAGGGTTTTTGTTCAAATCCTCCCCCCCTCCCTCCCCCCAAACATTCGGACTCACCTTCCGTTCACCCTCTCCTGCAGGAACCTCTCCCTGTAGAGGGACGTCCAGGGCCCCAGCTGCCCAAGCCAGTGGGCCACCTCCTCTGCGGTCCATTTGGCCACCGGCTTGTGGACCAACAGGCCGTCCTCTGACTCCCGGCTGCTCCAGTGGTAGCCCAGCAAGACCACCTAAGAGACCAATCGAGAGCACCTGAGGCTGGGCTGGGGGGGGGGGGGGGGTGTGCTCAAAGCAACCACAATAGGAGTCCTGTTCAAAGGCTGCTCCAGACCAGCCATCCCTGCCTGGTGCCATTGGCCCCGTTGTTTTCAATAAGCCCCAGGTGGGCAGTTCCCTGGGATCAGGTGCACGAGAGGCCAGCCAGCCAGAGCCCCCGTCCTTCAGCTTCGCTCCCCGAGCGCCAAAGAGAAAGCTCAGGGCCGGCCCAGCTCTTAGAAACTGGGCAGGCAGCCAAGCCCCCTCCCTCCTTTCCATGCAGGCAGCAAGGAAGCCCCACCGGAAGCTCAGCCTCCCCTGCAGAACCTGCTCAGCTCCAGGGCTCAATCGGTGCCCTGCAGAGCCTCCTCCCTTCTCCCCCCCCCCCCCCCCGGTGTGACAGTGCTTGTGAAAAATGCCCTCAGGGAGCCGTACCGCCACGCAGGTCAACGCGGTCAGGACACCGGAGAAAAAGCCGCCTCCGGGTGGGTTCACCCTCCTGGCACTGGGGGCCGCCGTGGGCTGGTCGCTTCCGTACTTCTGAAAAGCGGCCAGGCTTTGCGTTGCCTCGTGGTTTTGTAGGATGTCGTCTTTGCGCTGCTCGATGGCGGTTGGGAAGAGCTTTTCAACAGCATTCCTGGGAGGGGAGAAACTGCTTGAGCCGACTTTGGTGGCCGTGCGGCCCCTGAAGATTCGCCAGCTTCGCCCAAACTCTCCAGCAGGAATCCCTTGCTCGTCCTCCCAGCAATCCTCGCTTGGCTCTGCCCGCCTTGCAGAGGGTTGGGGAAAGAGGAGCATCTGCCCTGGGAGGGAGCAATGCGGCCTCAGGCTGGCTTCTTACCAAAGCCGCACCCTGCTAAGAGGAGCAACCGGGCCAAAGGACGGTGTTCAGTCCCTCCCTCCTGACGTGAGGCACCGAGGCTCCTGGCCGGAGCAGAGAAAGAGGCCCATCTTCAAGCCTCAGGCCTCCTCGCCCCCCTCCCCCCCATCAGCCTCTGGGTGCCCAGGGACCAGCGCTTGGGTGGGTCTCGGCCCGGCAACTGGGCAGGGCGAAGCTGGCAGGGTAGCGGTCACCTGAGGAGGATGTTGACCTTTGGGAACCCTTCCCATTTCTCCCGGCACTCTGGACACTCGTTCTTCTTGGAAGACGCCCACCACAATGCCAGGCAGTGCCGACAGAAACTGTGTCCGCAGGTCAAGGTGGTGGGGTTGATGAGGATGTCGTAGCAGCAGTGGCAGGAGAACTCGCTGACCGAGATCCGCCGGCTGATCCCTGGGCCGTCCAGCCTCTCCGCCGGCGAAGGAAGACTCTCCTCCTCCATGTCCCTTCCGGTGGCTGGCAGAGGCGGCCTCACATTCCCCAGCCCCAGAAGGCAACTGGAAGAGGGCAAAAGGAGGCCCTTCAGTCCCTACCCTACTGGGGCCATCCTGAGGGCTGCAGAAGATCCTAGCGGCTCCTGAAATGCTCTCTAGATGTAACGGATTAAGTTAATAATTTGTGGCAATTTAGATTCATTTTACATGTTGACTATTTCCAGTTTTGCCCTCCTTCTGGGTAGAAATGGGAAAATATGAACCATGCAACATAAGCATTACAAGGCTTGAACAATGTGTCCCCGTAGAACTGTGTCTTGATTTAAAGCAACGGGACAGAAAGCCCAGAGACCCTGGGCTTGGAAAGGAAAGGTGGGGTTGCTTGAGTAATAAATCCCCAGGGCTGAAAATCAATCAACGGGTGGCTTTTTTCTTACTGCGGTGCAAACGTCCGATGGGCCTTACCTGGCCTCAAGAACACACCTGGCACCTTTGTTGCTACTTCGGTGCAAACCGGCCTCGGAAAGCAGCTCCTTTCTGCCTGCACTCTCGGCCGTTGATCCCCAGCGAAGCTCTTGGGGGCAGAGAAGGGAAAGCGGCCTTTGGCTCCTTTTCCTACCAAGCGGAAGGAAAGCCTTGCTCCAGACCGCCTGGGCCTCTCCGAGCTCCCTTCTTCCCCCCCTCCCGGGCCCGCCTGGAACCGGAGGGAACATTCGGGTGGCGAGTCCTGCAGCCTTCGGGGAAGGGAGGCTCAAAGGGCGGCCCTTGTTTGGTGCGGAGGCAGGGAAGGAATTCCGCTGCGTTCATGCGGGAACGTTGCGCCTCCCCTCCTCCCGCACACAACCCCGGAGGGCTCGGCGGGCTCTTCGCTCAGTCGCGGGCAGGTCGAGCCTCCCGCTTCAGAGGCAGTCTACCTCCCCCCGCCCCCCTCCCGCCCGGCCACTCAGACCCTCCGTCCCTCGCTAAGCCTCGGGGCAGCTGCGCCACCTGGCAGGGAGGGGAGGCCCGTCCGCACCGCAGGACCCTCCTGGGAGGCGCCCCGGGGCGAGGGGGTCCAGGGGGCGGGAGCCTCCGGAGGCAGGGGCAGTCTACCTGGGGATGCAGGAGGGAGGGAGGCCCGCAGCGACGCGAAGCCGCGAGGCAGGGCGAACTGGCGTGGAGAATCCCGCAACGGTCACCTCCCAACCGCGGCCGGGGGGGCGACGGGGGTCCCGGAGCGCCGCTCACTCACCGGGGGGGGGGGCGCGGAGCCCCTCTGACAGCCACTTCCGCCCGCGCATGCGTGCCGCCCGTGCCGTCTCACGCCTGGAAGGGCAACGCCTGCGCGACGGAGCGCTCTACCAAACGCTGACCCGCCACAGCGCCCCCTGTCGATCGTTCCTGGGCAGCGGGGCTCGGGAGGGGTGGCGAGTTGCTAACAGCCCTGCGAGGTGGTCCAGGCTCAGAAGGCTTCCAGGCTTCCCCGCAGAGGGGTGTCTTTCGGGGCGGCGTCTGGCCCCACGGCAGAGGGGAGTTTTTCCGCCTCTTTCCCGGGCCGGGTCTCTCTGCGGACGACTGTCTCCTGCCACCCCGGGGATCCTTCTTCGGGGGTCCTGGGTTGGGGTCTCCCTGCCGCCCCGTCCGAAGTGGCTCGTTCGGCCTGTCCTGCCCGCCCACAACAGCTCTCGGCGGGACGCAGTACCGCGTGGCCTCCCGTCCTGTTCCTGGGCTGGGATCGCGCTCCTTCTGCCCCTCCCGCGGCGAAGCTAAACTGGGCTCCGGGGTCCCGGCGGGTCTGGTCTATTCCGGGCACAGCCAGGCGGTCCAGCCAGCCAAGCAGGCAGGCAGCGCAGGCTCCTTTCTCTAGGATGCGCGGCGACTTCGGGATGCGGGCGGCGGCGGGGGTCGTGTCAGTAGCCCTGGTCTTGGCGGCCGCCTGTCTGCGGGGCGCCCTGCTGCAGTCCGCGGGGGCGGCCGGACAAAGGCGTCCCTTCTTCGAGCGGCTCCGGCGCCTGGAAGCCCAGGTGAGCCGCTCCGCTCCCTCCTTCCCGTCCCTGTCCGGTTGGAGCGGGCGCTGGCGAGGGCAGGGGCGGCGGGCAAGGGGATCCCCCCGAGTTTATTCCTCTCCTGGCCCCCGAAATGCAGACGGGCCGGGCAGCCTCCACCCCCCCCGGGGGGAGGACTGCTCGGCGGGTCTCCCCGTCCTTCTCTTTAGGGAGACTTTCTGCTTTGCTTTGATCTCCTGAGACAAGACAGCGACTCCCCCGGGAGGTCCCGGCTCTCTCTCGGGCGGAGCTCCTGCTTGGGTGTTGAGAGTCACCGTTTTGGAGTAGATCACCTGCAGAAATCGGGAGCAGGAAAGGCGGAGAGTTTATTATGTGGTTCTTGTTCTGCTATCCAAGCTCCCCTTTTTTCAACCTGCAGCAAATTAGCGATCCAAGCCCATGGAGTCCCTTAAGGAGGCGGCTTCTGTTCTTCAGCCCCAACATCCGCCGGGGGACGGGGTTGATTCCAGCCAGATTCAACTGGGTACAGAAGGAGGGGGGTCCCCAGAGGGGAAAGAGCAGCCTGGAGATGTCTGCCTGACAACCGCATATAAAGAATACATAAATAAAGTGACGGAACCGATTCAGGGAAAATAAAGGAGGAGACGCAGCTCAGAAAAGATTCTGATTTTACAGGTCCCAACAGGCAACAATGAGGGGGGGCAGGTTGCCAATCCTCCCCCTTGGGCTCCTTGGGCTCTGCTGCCTGGGAGAGGGTGAGGGCTGGAGGGATGCTCAAAAGCCCATTCCCCTGGTGGCTCCCTCCCTCCCTCGGAAACCCACCCAGCTCTTCAGGTCAGGTTTCCCTGCAAAAGTTAATGGCAACAGCTGGTGTTGTAATATTTAAGCCTTTCAAGTTTTGCCAGAGGCCGTTTTAGGCTAAGATTAGCCACAGATAGTGGCCCAGCAAAATATATTTCTACGTTTCTGGATGGATTTAAATATAAAGTTATTTTGTGAAAGTCTTTCCTGAGTCTGGGCCTCTAGAGTCTTGTACTCCCATCAAGCACAGCCAGAGTGTCCACTCCCCATGTGAGCGAGGCGTCCACATTTAGAAGAGCTGGACGAAGGAGAGTAGCGGGAGCGAATGAATTAATATAGATTGCCACAAATAGCCTGACCATTTCAGAAGACAAGAAAGCAATCTCAGGACATCTCAAAGCTGTAAAACAATGAATTACTTGCCACCCGAAATAGCAAAATAAGCACATTGGTTGTTAAGAGTTACACTTGTCAACCATTTTCAGTTAGTGCTATAAATAATTGTACTTGTTATTGTAAAAATATCATTTCCTAAATATAGTTGAGATTACTCAATAGCTCCAAGGAAGCTGATGGAAAAATATAATGCTGTATTTTGGTCCCAAGATTTGGCTGCTGTCCTTATGCAGTGAAATGTCTAAAATGCTTTATAAAAACTTTCTATAAACGCTCAACACCATCGACACGTATTGGGAGGGAAGCACACGCGCGCGCACGCACACACACTGCTTCATTCCAGTTTTGGGACCCTCACTTGGTCCTTTTGCTTTGCTCTCAGGGGGCATCTTGAGCAGGGCTTGAAGCCCTAGTCCCACCTCTGGGCGCGTCCAGAAGGGCATATTTCCAGTGCTGTGGGTGCCCTGGAGTGAGGCTGCAAAGCCGGGCAGGGAAAGGTGCCTTCAGTCCTGGGGTTTTGCCCCCTTCGTCTCTGGTGGGCGTTTGTTGCAGGGATGCCAGGGACACCAAATCCAGAGGCTCCTGGTGCTTCGTAACCCATCGTGCCCGTGCGTTTCCCAGGGAAGGAGAGGGTCCCCCTTGCCTTGCCCCCACCCCTTTCCTGATGCTGCTCTGCCCTCGGCCTTGAGGGGCTGACCGGACTCCTGTTTCCCAGTTCCGACAGTTTCAGGCGGTCACTCTGACGCACTTCCAGGAGACGGGGGAGAACTACAACCTTTCTCTCAACCTCAACACCAAGGTGGACCAACTGCTGCAGAAGCAGGAGAGGCTGCAGCTGGTGGCCAACGGGTCCCGGGCTTCCACCCAGGAGGAGCTGCACCGCTTGCAGACTTGGGTGAAGAAGCTGGAGAGGAAGGGCGAGAAGCAAGCACTGAGGATCCGAGCTCTGGAAGAGGCCTGGGAGGAGCAGAAGCAGCAGGAGCAGCAGGAGAGCCGCCTGTCCAACCTTACCCAGGAGCTCGAGAGCCACAGGGAGGACTTCAGGGACGTGGCCATCCGCCAGCAGAGCCTGCAAAAGACCCTGCAGAGCCTGCAGGACCTTCTCCACCGCCAGGGAAGCAAGCTGGGCAGCATCAAGCGGAAGCTGAAGAGCCTTAAGCAGAAGGAGGCACTGCCCAGTCCTTGGACCGCAGCCCATCCCTTTGGGTCAGAGGAAGCCTCGCAGGCGGCTGGAGGGCAGAGCCCCACCTTGAAGAAGCTGCGTGCCAAGCATCACCAGCTGGGGGGCCGCCTGGAGGCCCCGGCCGAGAGGGGCCCCCTTCTGGGCCAGGTGGCTTCCCACCTGCAGGTGGATCCGGGCCCGGCCTCTTCGCCTCAGACCCCCACAGAAGAGCCCCCTGGCCCGGCCAAAGTCCCTGTGGGGGAGAAGCCTCCGGGAGGGACCCGGAAGCCAGGAACAAGTACGTATACAGAGGGAGGGTGCGCTGATGCATGAATGCTGCGAGGCTCCTTCAGCTCTGATACAGCGGCCGTTCTCGGCCTTAAAATGGGCTGGAGGCTCGAGGCAAGTTGGTTCCGCAGGTGGGCTTTCCCTCTGGAGAGACGTTTGTATGGACTGCAGGAGCTGCTGTTGCCACCACCGCTTGCTTCTGTCTGTCTGGAACGTTGAGCTGCTCTGGCACTTTGCTTTTTGTCTTTTATCTGCTGTTCTGATTTTAAATACTGGCCGGCCGCCGAGTGACCTGCACGCTTTAGACTAGAAATCCTCAATGTAACTTTCACCACCTGGATGTAAAATTCCAAACTGGAGCCCCAGGCTGTGGTGGGCCAGAGCTGCAACCAGCTGTGTGCATGAAATCCCCTCAATGCTTTTGGTTTGGGCTGCTTCCCAGGCTCACCCGGTTATTTCCAGGCTCCATAGCTCAGGCACCAGCCTGCGCATAGGAGCCCCTGGGTCATTCCTGGCAGCCGCTCCACCGCTCTCTCTTCCCTGCAGGGTGCAACGTGGGCGCCATGCTGGTCTTCCCCAATGCCTCCACCCAGAACTTCGCAGCCTTCCAGCCCAGCCTGCAGACCAGCTTGCTGGAGCTGAGCCTCTGCAGCTGGGTGAGGACCAGCGCCCGCTACCTGGGCACCATCCTGTCTTACGCCACAGAGGAGAACGACAACAAGCTGGTGCTCCATGGCAGGGATGCTGCCCCCCGGAACGCCATCCATTTCGTGATTGGAGACCCCACTTTCCGGGAGCTGCCGGTGGGGGCCGTCTTGGATGGCAGGTGGCACCACGCCTGCGTCATCTGGTCCTCCCTCCAGGGGCGTTACTGGTTCTACCTGGACCGAAGGCTGGCCTCCCTGGGCACCAACTTCCGGAAGGGCTACGAGATCCCACCCCACGGGTCGCTCCTCCTCGGCCAGGATCAGGACGTGCTTGGCGGAGGGTTTGAGTCCTCCGAGTCGTTCGTGGGGCTCCTGGCAGGCTTTGCCATGTGGGACCGAGCGCTGCTGCCTGGGGAGGTCTCCAGCATCGCCCTTGGAGAAGGCCTTCCCTGCGGAACAGTGCTCACCTTGGCCAACGTCTCCATGCTCAGCGGTTCTGTACGGAAGGTGGATTGCACCTGCCTCGAGCACTGCCTGTGACCCCGTCCCCCCCCCCAGAGGTTGCGCCCCCTGCCTCCCCATGCTGGATATTTTCCAGAGAAGGGGCCCTGCCGAAGGGACTGGGGCCACCCTGAGGGCAGCAGCTGAAACCCCGGTGCTTCTCCAGTTCTTCTTTAGAAAAATCTATTCAACCCCCAAAACAGGATCGGCTCCTGTGTACAGGATTCCCCGATCAATCCCAGGATGGTCTTCATCCCACCTGCTTCAGCTGGGGGAGCTTCCCCTGCTCTGCCTCACCTCAGGCCCTTTGACCGGGGAACCCAAGACTGGCTGGCCCCTCTATAGGAACTCATACCACCCAGCTGGGGGTTGGGTGGTGGGCCTGGGGCAGGATGGCTGGCACATTGGCCCAAGTCACCAAGTCACCAAGCCCTCTGCTCAAACAGCAGCATCGGGGGGGGGGGGCAGATTACACCAACTGCACAATTGGGGAAATAATGAAAAGCAGGATCCAAACACCGCTGATTTCTGGGATGTTTGTGCAGGGAAGGGCCCTGCTCATCATTACTCTGCCTGGTGCCCAGATTCTGACCTGACCCCCGCCCCAAGCCTCGTGTGCCATTTTCATGATAAAATTCTTTTTTTTTTTAAAGGAAGGCGGGTTTCATGGGTAAAATACATTAATTTGTATTTGTTCCTTCTTACATTTCTGAAGGCAATGCTGGCTCCCTGCCTTGCTTAGCTTGTGTAATGCATATTGGAGTTTCATTTCGTGGTTTTGACTAGAAGCAATAAATATTTATTCAAGACCTCGGACCTTTCCTCTCTTTCTATCAGATAAGTAAAAAATGTTCATTGTGATGGAGTTTAAAAACTTGAATTTCTCTCCTTTTTAAAAATGAAACAAGCCAGATTGACCGCTGGAGACCAGGCATCGCCCGCCAGCAGCCTTGGCTCCGTCTGAGGGACGCCGCAGCTGGGGAGCCCGCAGGAGGAGGGCCGGCCCTGAAAGCGCTGCTCCTCCAGGTGGCTGCTGGGCGCCCTTTGGGTCCTTCCAGAACGTCCCTTCCCCGCAACGCCCCACCTCGTCCCCCGTCAAAAGCCACCACCGCGGAAGGGGCATCTCCCCGTCCGTCGAGGGCGGCACCGGGCGGCCGAGCCGAGGGAACGCGGGCGCCTCCTCCTCTCCCCTCCCCTCCCTGGCAAAGGCTGCGGCGGGGAGTCCGCGAGAGCCCAGCCGGGGCCCCAGCCTGCGAAAGCCCGGCCCTCCGCGGTCGAGACCAGGCACCGCCGGATCCTGAGTCGGCCCCCGGCCCAGCTCTTCCCCGCAGGGACGGCGCCCCCCCCCCCCATTTGCCAGCCTGGCCGGGAAGCGGCTGCGGGTCGCTCGGCGCCCCCGAGGAACGAGCGTCCCGACGGGCTGGCAGGGCGCCGGGACTGCATTCCCCGTGATGCTCCGGGGCGGGCGAGGCGGCGGGTCACGTGCCTCGCCAGCTGCGGAAGGTCACATGACCGCCTCGCTCGCTCGCTCGGGCTCCATCCAGTCGGGCGGCAGCGGAGCGGCGATGGCGAACGTGGCGACGCGGGTGTCGTGGTCTGGCCGGGAGGGAGAGGCCGAGGGTCGGGGCGAGACCACGCCGCTGCTGAACGGCACGGGCGGGCAGGTGAGACTGGCGGAGCCCCCCTGGCCGGGAGAAGTCTACCGCTGGGCGGGGAGAAGCCCGATGCGCGGACGGTTGGGCGATCGGAGGCTTTCGGAAGACTCCTGAGCAAGTGCAGGCGGCCTTCCCCGCCCCTACGGGAAAAGGCGCACGCTGGGCTTCCGAGCAACCTTGGCCCGGGCTCCCTGGGGCTCAGCCGGGACTAGTCCCTTGCCCACAGCTACAGCCGGCCTCCAAGCTCTGGCATCCAAAGCGGGTGGCCGGGCGCTCTTGGGCCTCTTGTTCTGAGCTCTGGGCTCCAGGAGGGGGAAAGCGCCGGAGTGAGAAAGTGGCGCTGAACGGGTTCTGGGGGCGACGGCCGGGGACAGCCTGCAAAGGTCCTCTTGTGATGCCCGTTGGTGATCCAGTGGGGCTGCAGGAATCTGCCCCCCCTCCGCCTGTTGCCTGGGCCCAATCGGACGGCGCTTGGGGGCATCGTTCCAGGGAGCCTTTGTGCCACTCTCTTCAATGAGGGGTTTGTTTCTGGAGGGACCCGAAGTGGCAGTTGTCACAGGAAACTTTTGTGGCAATCTGTGGACCGTTTCTGACAGCCAGCCTGGTATTTGGGCTATTTTTCAGCATGTTGACACTACCAACACACAGGCCACTTGTCGGAAACTGCCCACAGATTGCCCCAAAGTTGATGGGCAAAGGGCTGTCTCTGCCACCTACCACTTGGGGCCCCTCCTCCTCATCCAAGAGAGTGGCACAAAGGCTCCCCGGGAAAGGCCGGGATCCCGAGGCCCCCGAGCGCTGCCTGATTGGCCCAGGCAAGAGGCCTGTGATGACTTTGGGAATCCGTTTCCCGCGTGACTTTTCTGCTCTTCCTTCTTCTTGCGCACCCCTCCCCTAGTGCAGCAGAAGGAGGCTTTTCATTCCCTGTCACACGCTCTGAGCTGAAAGGGGAAACTTAACAATTGTTCATGCAGCCACGTGCTGTTGATGAAACAGCCCCTCTGCGTGTAGAGCTGTTGGGCTTCCCAGGGATGAAGCCTCTTTGCCCGGGATCCTTCCAGCCCCAGGAGGAGCTGGGCAGCTCAAGCAAGACAGATGTTTTTTGCTTCTGCAGCTGAGCCCTTCTCCGTCTTCCTCGCGAGTTGGGCGCCTGAGCACCGTGGATCTTGGGGACCAGGAGATCAGGGTGAGCGAGACTCCTGGTGGGAGGTGCGGGGGGGGGAAGCAGAATGGGGCTGAATCCTGGGCTCTGGGTTGAATCCTGGTCCCTTGCAGGAAACGGAGGCCCCTCGGTCCCTCCCCAGCGAGATTCCACACAGCAACAAGCTTCTCTCCCTCAAGTACGAAGTGAGTGCCTCCCTGGGAGGGCCAGGTGGCGGGCTGGGGCCGCAGTGGGAAGGGAGCCCTTCCTCCAGTGGGCAAAGGTGGCCCTGTGTAGCTGGGTTTCCCCTGAAGGCTTCCCCCGCCTTTTGGCCCCCTGCAGAGCTTGGACTATGACAACTGTGAGAACCAGCTCTTCTTGGAGGAGGAGAAGAGAATAAACCACACGGTGAGTCTGCCTCCCCTGGTGCCCCTGGGCCTCTCCCCTCTGGGGTGAACCCTGAAGAGCCTCAAGGGGAAAGCAGGGGCCCTTTCCCTGCTGCAGCCACAGCTCTGGGCCCCTCCCTCCCTCCCTCCGGGGGTGGAGCGATTCTCCCTGGCTTCCTAATGTTCCTGGACGCCTGGAAAGGGGCTTCTGGAAGCCAAGTGTAGCTTTGAATGCTGGGTCCCCAGTTCTCATCCGCGCTGCCAGGAATGAGGGCGGCTGCAGGGGGCTGGGCCAAGCCTTGAAAGGGGGTGGGCAGCCCACCGGCATAGAACAAGGAGGGAGACCTTGGTTTGCCCACATTAAGGGCTTGCAGGAAAGGGTAACGCCAGAGTCGGAACCTTGCTTTGCCCTCTGGGCCACCACCAGCAAAGATCAGAGCCTGCTTGAGGAAGGGGGGTGGGTGGGCGGGCTCTGATCTCCTCCCCCGTCATACAGGCATTCCGAACGGTGGAAATTCAGCGCTGGTTCATCTGTGCCATGATCGGCATCCTGACCGGCCTGGTCGCCTGCTTCATTGACATCATGGTCGAGACCTTAGCAGGGCTGAAGTACAAGCTGGTGAAGGGCAGTATCCTTCAGGGGCACATTGGGGGGGGCAGGGAGGGGGTCTCGTCACCCAAGGGATGCTGTGGGGGAGTTCAGCTCTGCCCGGCACTGGCATCCTCTTCCGAGATCTCCCCCCCCTCCCCCCAGGTCTGTAAACGTGGGGGCCCAACTGAAAACCGACTCGTCCCCACAGGAGGAGCCTAATCGGCATCCGGGAGTTTTCCTTTCAGCTTCTTTCTGCCCAGATATTGACAGATTCACAGAGACGGGGCGCCTGTCCTTCTCTCTGCTCCTCTGGGCCATGGTGAACGCAGGCTTTGTGATGGCCGGATCCATCCTTGTCGCCTTTCTGGAGGTGAGCGGGGGCTCGGCTTGCGCACGTCCTCTGCGCTGGGAATGGGGCCGCCGTGACCGAGTGCTTTGCCTCCGCAGCCTGTGGCCGCCGGCAGCGGAATCCCTCAGATCAAGTGCTACCTGAACGGAGTCAAGATCCCCCACGTGGTTCGGCTGAAGGTCAGCAGCGTGGGGTTGTGTTGCGTTGTGGTTCTTCGCAAGGGTGCACACCCGCCGACTCTGAGGAGGAAGGGTTGCCGTGTGGTGTTCCTTCCGGCTTGGGGGCTTCAGCAGTGGGCCAGGGAGGAGGGTCCCTTTTGGGATGCAGAAATGCTCCTGGCAAGGGTCTGGGGTCTTTGGGGCCAGGGAGATTATTGTGGCCTCTGTGTGCTCTCCTTGCAGACCCTGATGGTGAAAGTCTGCGGCGTGATCTTCTCCGTGGTTGGAGGCCTGGCAGTGGGGAAGGTAGAGGAGGAGGAGGAGGGGAGGAGCTGCCCATCTGATTTGGCACCAGGGGTTTCTGGGAAACAGTGTTCCGGCTGCTCCCCTCCCCAACAACTCAGCTGTGGCCCTGGATGGACTGATGCCTGCCTTCGTGCCAGGCAGCCCCACGAGGGAAGGGGGAGCTGGCTAAGCGGAGCATGACGGGTGCCAGGCTGCTGGTTTGGGTGGAGCAGCAAGTGAGGACGGGCATTGCCAACTGGAGAGACCCTCCCCCTGTGTCTGAAGGCCTCTTCGACCCCTCTGTGCTTTCCTTCCAGGAAGGGCCAATGATCCACTCGGGGGCCGTCATCGCAGCTGGGATTTCTCAAGGGCGCTCCACTTCCTTGAAGAGGGACTTCAGGGTCAGTAGCTCCCCCCCCCCCTTGAGATCTGGGTGGGACCTGGGCTGAAGAAGCCAGCCTTCGGGGGATGGGGGGGGTGCCTGGGAGCTTCATCGGCAGGAGGGGCCCGGTGTGTCCGGCCTGCACGCAAACCCCTCCTTTTGTCGGCCTGCAGATCTTTGAGTATTTCCGGAGAGATACGGAGAAGCGGGATTTTGTCTCGGCTGGAGCCGCTGCCGGCGTCTCGGCTGCCTTTGGGGCCCCTGTTGGTAAAGGCCCTTCGTCCTCCCTCCCTGGGCCTCTCTTGGGCACGGATGGGGTCCCTCTGCGGACGCCTAGCAAGTGCAGAGCTGGGCAGGGTTGGGGCCACAGGGGCCCCACCTGGGTGCCTGCTCACCCGTGCCCCCTCCCCTCCTCCGCAGGCGGGGTCCTCTTCAGCTTGGAAGAAGGCGCTTCCTTTTGGAACCAATTCCTGACCTGGCGGATTGTGAGTGCAGGGGAGGGGAGGGGAGGGGGCTGCAGCCAGTGGTCCATCCCCCGCAGGAGCCTCTCTGCTGCCCATCTCCTCTCCTCTCTCCCCCTGCAGTTCTTTGCCTCCATGATCTCCACCTTCACCCTCAACTCCATCCTCAGCGTCTACAAGGGAAACCCCCTGGACCTCTCCAGCCCCGGCCTCATCAACTTTGGCAGATTCGATTCCGAGGTGGGGCCCCCACCCAGCTGGAGCTGCCGGGTCTCCCTTTGTCTTGGGGAAGGAGGTGCCCGGGCAGTGCCGGGGGTGGGGGGTGGGTTGGTGGGGTGTGTTTGCAAAATGGAGCGACTGGTGGATCCCTTGAGCCCCATTGGGGAAGGCCGGGGAGTTGCTGCCACCCCTCAGGTGGGCGGAGGGTCCTATACCGAGGGGGAAGGGCAATGCCAGGCGGCTGCTGGGTTCTTGGCCACAGACTCAGTATTCCTGGCACTCACAGCTCTCCCTTCCCTGTTTCAGAAAATGGGGTACACGTTCCAAGAAATCCCCATCTTCATCTTCATTGGTGTGCTGGGTAAGAAGCCCTTTTGGCCCAGAACGGGCTCGGCTTGGGGAGGAGGCCCCACGGGCGACGGGGCTGCCCCTCCCTGGACAACCTGTGGAGTCCCCCGTGGGACCGTTTGTTGGTGCTGCTCTCCCCCCTCCGGCCTCCCCTGTCCGGCTGCTGGTCAGCAAGCCGTCCTCCCCGAGTCTGCGCTGCTGAGTCCCACGGATGCAGCGATGTGGGTTCAGCTGGGGTGGGGGGACCCCGGGGGTCCCCAGATTCTGCAGAGCGCCTGGGCCCTTGCGGCGCCCCTTTCCGGACCGGCCTCTTGTCTCCCGCTGCAGGGGGAATCCTTGGCGCCATGTTCAATGCTCTGAACTACTGGCTGACGATGTTCCGGATCAGGTGAGAAGCTGGTGAGGCTCAGCCTGCGAGTCTGGCCTCTTCCTGCCAGCCCCCGGCTGACCTGCGCTTTGCCCCCCCGGTTGCCCAGGTACATCCACCGCCCCTGCCTGCAGGTGATCGAGGCCGTGCTGGTGGGGGCTGTGACGGCCGCGATTGCCTTTGTCCTCATCTACAGTTCCACTGACTGCCAGCCTCTCCAGGACAACAGCATGGCCTACCCACTGCAGGTAGGGGACCGCGGGGGGTGGGTGGGTGTTTGAGCCGGAAGGAGCTGTTGAGCCCCGGTGCGGAAGGGCCCAGGCTTGGGGTCAGCTGGTGGGCAAACAGCAAGCAGGGTGGGAGTTTTAAAGGGGAGGGGAGGGGAGGTGGGAGGTGTGGCCGGACTGCCCAGGGGCTCCGTGCTTCCTCTTGGGGTCTGAGGCTGCACCGGAACAGGATGCTCCTGTGTTTCCCCGTTGACAGTGACGAGCGCCTTCTCTAGCTGCCCGTTTCCTTCTCCCCAGCTCTTCTGCCCTGATGGGCAGTACAACTCCATGGCGGCTGCCTTCTTCAACACCCCCGAGAAGAGCGTGGTCCGCCTCTTCCACGACCCTCCAGGTCAGCTGCCTCCGCGGCCACAGACGGGGCTTCTCTGGGGCACAGCGACTGTCCTTGTGCTGCGCAAACCTTGAGTGTATCAGCCACGGGGGCTGCTTGGCGTGGCCTCCTCAGCTTTCTGCAATTGAGCAGCCCTCGGGGTTGTGCCGGGGCTGAGCTCACCCCCCCTCCCTGCTCCTCTTGGTCTGAAGGGTCTTCTGTTTCTCCCCCCAGGCACCTATGACCCCATGACCCTGGGCCTCTTCACCCTGGTCTACTTCTTCCTGGCCTGCTGGACCTACGGGCTGACGGTGTCCGCGGGCGTCTTCATCCCTTCCCTGCTGATCGGGGCTGCCTGGGGCCGCCTCTTTGGCATTTCCTTGTCCTACATCCCCAACGGTTTGGTAAGTCAGACGCCGGAGAATGCTGGGCCTGGGGCTTCATGACGGGGGCCAGCCGGAGCCCAGGATGTGGCTCTGGGCTGCTCTGAGCTGGTCCTGGGGTCAGTCCCCTCCCCCGCACTACGGGGGCGAAGGGGCGAAGGGGGAGCCGCCTGCCCCACTGCCTGCTTCTCTCTGGCTTCCAGATCAGGCCCGACCCAGGGAAGTATGCGCTGATGGGGGCCGCAGCACAGCTGGGTGAGTGTGGGGCGGGGGAGGGGGCTGGCTGTGCTTCAGCAGAGTCCAGTTCCCAGGTCCATGTGTGTGTGCAAGGGGGAGGGGGGGAAGCTTGGTCCCTTTGGGAGGAGCAGAGCCAGGCCAGAAGGGCGGGGGGTCCTCAGTCTGGGTGGGAAAATGGCTCTGGGCCAGGCGGTGCCTTCCTGGCTGTTTGGGCTGCTGGTGGCCATAATGAGCCTGGCACCTGAGGAGGCCGCGGGGCCTCTTCCTGGGGGAGGCAGGACAAGTGCCAGCAGGGGCTCTTCTTCCAGGGGGCATCGTGAGGATGACGCTGAGCTTGACCGTCATCATGATGGAGGCCACGGGCAACGTCACCTACGGGTTCCCCATCATGCTGGTCCTGATGACGGCCAAGATCGTGGGGGACTTCTTTGCGGAGGTGAGAGGCTGCCCCCCCCCCCCCGAAGGGCTCCGGCGGGAGGTGGAGAGAGCCAGAAACAGTTCATCCCGGGGAATGCCCATGGCGGCTGGGAGAGCGCCACCCTCAAGGCCACCTTGGCATGACTCAGGCCTCCTGTGACTCAGTTTCCCCTCCGGGCCAGACTTTCCAGCGTCCGTCTGGCAGGACTGGCGTTGCTCCTTCCGCAAAAGGAATCTGCCAGGAACAGCGGGGGGCTCCCTCTGTTTGGAGACCCCAACCCATCCCCCTTTGTGGCTTCAGGGTCCCTTCTGCCCATTTTCATCCCCTATTCCAGGGCTTGTATGATATGCACATCCAGCTCCAGAGCGTCCCCTTCCTGCACTGGGAGGCCCCCGTCACTTCTCACTCCTTCACTGCCACGTAAGTTGAGCAGCCGGCTGGGCTCCCCCAGGTCTGGCTGGAGTAGGGGAGGGGCGCTGGAAGAGGCCAATGGGGGGGGGAGGGAGGGGCGAGGGCCTCTCCTCTCGGTTCCGGGCTGGAGCCTTGCCCTCTTGCACCCCAATGGCTCCCCTTGGGCTGAGTCTGGGCTCCCCCCTCCAGCCAGGTGATGAGCACCCCGGTCACCTGCCTGCGGCAGAGCGAGAAAGTGGGGACCGTTGTGGATATCCTCAGCGACGCGGCTTCCAATCACAACGGCTTCCCTGTGGTGGAGAGCAGCCCTGGCAGCAACCAGGTGGGCGAGTGGCCGGCATGGGCTGGCACCCCAGTTGGGGAGAGGGTTGGGGGCCTTCTCTGAAACCCCAACGAGACGCTGCAGCTGTGACAGGCAGAGCTTGCTGCTGGCAGGGCAGTTGAAGTCTCTTTTCCTCCCAGATGTGGGGCCTCTGAAGGGCCTCCTCAGGCATTTTAACCCAAAGCAGCCCTTGGCCCAAAAGAGCGGGGCGGGGGGGCGGGGGGGGGCAGGAGCAGCTACGGAGCAGTCCAGCCCTCCGTGCCACATGGCGTCCAGCGTCTGCTGAGGGCCAGGATGAGCCTCTCCGCTCTCTGGACCTCCCCGTTGCTGGGGTGGGAAGAGCTCCAAATTCTGCAGTGATCCAGGAAATCCTCTCTCGTTGCAGACAATGGGCTTGCGGGGGCTGATCCTGCGCTCCCAGCTGATTGTGCTCCTGAAGCACAAGGTAGGGGGGGGTGCTGGGTTGGGGGAGCAGGGGGGGGTCTGGCCGATGGGTGCAGTGGGAGGCTGTGGGGCTTGGGAGGTGCGGATGCTGGGCCAAGGAGGGGCTGCCCGACCAGCAGCCACCTGAGCCAGGCCTTTCAGGGAACCCCGGGCCCTCATGGGGAGGGCGGCTGGTCCACTCCCCGTGGCCTGGGCCAAGTGGGAGCCCCCCCAGGATGTCTCCCGTGCCCTTGCAGGTCTTTGTGGAGCGGGCCAGCCTGTCTCTGCGGCAGCGGCACCTGAAGCTGAAGGACTTCCGGGACGCCTACCCCCGCTTCCCCCCCATCCAGTCCATCCACGTCTCCCAGGACGAGCGCGAGTGCATGATGGACCTGACCGAGTTCATGAACCCCTCGCCCTACGCGGTGCCACAGGTGAGGGGCCCGGAGCGCCAGGCACGGCCGCAGGAGGGGAGGGCGTGGGGGGACCCCGGCTGCCAGCCCCCTCCGTGCCTGGCTTCCCTCCACCTGAGCAGCCCCGGATTCCCTTGCAGGAGGCCTCCCTTACGAGGGTCTTCAAGCTCTTCCGAGCCCTGGGCTTGCGCCACCTGGTGGTGGTGGACAACCTGAACCAGGTAGGGCTCCCGCTTTGGTTCTTCCGGGGGGGTGGGAAGAGGGGGGGGGCTCTCTTGCAGGGAGCGGCTCCTCCGGCTGATGGGGGGGGGGGGCTGCTTGCCCAGCCTGAGCGCCCCGCTTGCCTTGCAGGTGGTGGGGCTGGTCACTCGGAAGGACTTGGCCCGCTATCGGCTGGGGAAGAAGGGCATCGAGGAGATTCCCACGGCCAAGACGTGACTTTGCTGGGCTGCTCAGGACGTGCGTGGTGCGCTGGAGCCCTCCGGCACGGAGGAGGCACCCCCGGCTGCACCCGCCTCTCCACGGCCCTTTCCACTGCCTTGCCTGGGATGGGGGCAGTGGGCTCCTCGGGGAGAGCCGGGGGCCCCAGAGAGAGGCAACGGCAGGCAGATCTGCTGCCACCCGGGCTTGGCGTGGCTTTCCTGTGTCTTTCACGCGTCCACCGGCTCTTGGCACGCTTTCCTCGGCCCATCACTCACCGACTGTGCCTTCCAAGCCCCCCCAAGGGCAGGAACCGTCCCCAGCAGGCCCAGAGCCTGCCCGCTTCGGCTCCCTCTCCCCCAGCAAGGAGGGAGCCTGGGGAGGGGGGCCTTTTCTCTCTGTGGTTGAAAGGGACCAAGCGAGGCCCGTCTTCTGCCTCCCCCAAGACGTCAGGAGAGCCTTTGGTTGGAGGAAGGGGGGGGGTGCCCTTTTCCCGAGACTTTGATTTTATCCTTTTTTCTGCCCTCGAGGCCTCAGAGCTTTGCTGTCTTCTACAGCATGCGCACGCACTGTACCTCGGAAGTCCTTTTTTGTGCTGAAATAAAAATGAATTTGGTTTTTCTCCCTTCTGCTCTTGGTTCCTCTTATTGCCCTGGCTGAGCCACCCGTGGAGCGGAGAGGGTTGGGGCGGGAGGGAAAGGGAGCCTGGTGAGGGGAGGATGGAGGCGGGAGGGTGTGTGGGGCTCCCTCTCTTCCCTCCGGCCAAGCAGCAGGTTGCCAGCACAAAAGCCAGGCCCCTTAGCAACCGCACCCACAGGGCACCTATTGTGACCCATCAGGCAGCAGCATTGGCCCACAGGGGAAGGGATGGAGAGGGGACACAGCTGGCTGGAGGGGCCATGAGGCCTGGCTATGCAGCCTTGGTGTTCGGTTCCTTAGTGCTGCAGGAGGACCTCAGCGGGCCCCCCCCTATCTGGAGCCGCACTAGGGAAGCAGACGGAAGAGATGGCCCCGCCGGCTTCTGCCCGGAGGGAAGCCTGCTGTCCCAGTTCCGGCACATGTTGTGTTCGCAAGGCTTCTGCTGGATCTCGGAGACGACCTGGGGGCTCCCCCTGGCCGGGGCAGTCCTGGTGCTGCTCTGGCTGGGCTTTGAAATCTGGACCTCCTCCTGCCTGGCCATGTGGCAGGCCCAGCTCCGGCAGCCCCGTGCAACGGAGAGCCCTGCAGCGCAGCCCAGCCCTCCTCCCCTGGTAAAGAGATGGCTTTGCGTATCGCATTCTCTGACGCAGCCCCGGGGCAGTTTGCACCCACACATGCCCACGCCAGCCCAGGGCTGAGCAAAAGCAGCCCTGCTTTCCTCCAAGACTTTTCTGCGTGAGCTTCGCCCAGCCTGAACCCGGCACTGAAGGCCGCCCTGCAGTGGCAGAGGGAGAGCCTCCGTTTGCAAAGGGTCACGAGAACTAAAGAGAAAGCAGGGAGATCAGCCACTGCAACTACAAACGCTCACTTGCATGGGTGAGCTTTGGGGGGGGGGCACGAGGGCTCAGTGGAGCGGAGAGTGTAGGACCAGCCTTGCAGGGTGAAAGCAGATCCCCACCATATCCAGCTTCCTGGCTGCAATTACCGGCAAGAAGCCAACGGGGTAGACTGCCTCTGAACATGGAGGGGCCATCTTTCAGTGGTACAGAATGCCCTTCAAATATTGGGTGGTATTAAAACAGGTAACGCTGAGCCACGTTGTCCTTAATTTTCTGTGGATCTACTGTATCCGAGACTGGCTGTATTTCAGGGAGAGGTTTATCCAGGGGCCGGACGCTGGGCCTAGATGCGCCCCAGTTGAGCCAAAGCATCCTGGTTTGTCTGAAATGAGGACCTGTCCCATACAAGGACAAGTCAGCAGGGTTAACAAATAAAACTACAACATTTGATAAGAAATCCAAGCCACAGAAACCATCTCCATTCAGAAGGCCTCTTACATAGGCAGGGGCATCGGAAGGCAGCATCGACCCTCCCCACCCCTTTGCCCAGAGGAGGCCACGCAAGTCAAGATGGCCCCAGAGAGGCAATTGTAGGGGGACCTCCAGAGCGTAGGCGCCAACTCAGCCAAGCCCTCCCCAGAGCCACCAG